TTAGCCCGGACCTGTAGAACTCCAGTCCTGCTACTAGTTTAAAGTGTCTTACTATACCTCTCTTGATCGCAGTTCTTGAAGCCATAGTGCCTCGTGTCGAATCCCATACCTAACACTAGTAGCTACTACAAATTAAATTATTCAATGTAATTAGGTAATTAACTTACCTTTAAATAAAACACTTTAACGGTTTAAAACGCGATAAATTTAGTAGACAGTATTTAATTAACTTACCTTTCACACTTTCTTAATAATTTACGGGCTCGTGGGTTCGACCCCCCCCCGGGGCAACAATTTTTTATTTTTCTTTAAAATTTTGGGTTTTTTGGGGGGTTTTTTAATTCCCCCCCCCGGGGGAAAAAAAAAAAAAAAACGGGGGGGTTTTTTTTTTTTTTTTTTTTTTTTTTTTTTTTGTTTTTTTTCCCCCCCCCAAAAAGGGGGGGGGGGGGGGGTGGGGGGGGGGGGTTTTTCCCCCCCCCCCCCCCCCCCCCCCCCCCCCCCCCCCCCCCCTTTTTTAAAAAAAAAAAAAAAAAAACCCCCCCCCCCCCGGGTTTTTTTTTTTTTTTTTTTTTTTTTTTTTTTTTTTTTTTTTTTTTTTTTTTTTTTTTTTTTTGGGGGGGTTTTTTCCAAAAATCGACAATAAATTGAACAATTTTTTTGACTCGGGGCTGGACTTGAACCGGCATCGGCAGCGTTCCGTGTTGTTGCTCTACCAATTGAGCTACCGAGCCAACTTTTATCAATTTATTTTCGATTTTTTAAGTATTAAGTAATTGATAATAAGTTATAGCAATATTTATTATTCTTACTTACTACTGAAAAGTATGTCAGTAAACGATGTCAAACCAAAATTAATGTTTCCATTTACGCCAAAAATATACCACTATAATAAATTACAGAAAGATTCATAAACATTCATAGTTTATAATTAATTACATAATATTAATGAAGTAGAATTTATTTTTAATTACCGTAAATATTAAGCCAATACATTTGGCATTGTATTTTTAACACTAGACTGGTCTAGATAGTTTTAAGTAAGAAAAAGTTCACTATTGGTCGTATTAATAGCTAAACATTGCTTACATAATTGTAGTAGCAATTATTCATAATTAATCTGTATAAAAATATACGTAGTTACTTAATGCTTAAATAGAGGTCAATTCTCAGTTTTAAATATAACTTTAATGACTAATTAATTAAATAATATTACATATAAGCTCTTGTAGTATCATGAATCATACAAGTTTCCTAAGTTGTTGCTCTCAATTCATATTTTATCCGAGAATATTATGAAATACTTAGCTGTTGTGGCGAAACATTCAGCCTTAATTAGCAAGTATCAATCAAAAGTACGTAATATATCCAATTGATTATGCAGGTAGCATTCTGCATTATAAGTTTCCTTTAATTATAGGCATAGGTGTAGTATACTAGCTGTGCCAGCGACTTCGTCCGCATAAAATAGTTACTTTGGGCGTCAAAATTTGTTTTTGCGAACTCCTACTCATCTTTATAAATTAAAGCTGTTACCCACGACATCTGTATCCCGTAGTTGGGGTCGTTCTTGCAAGTTAATCTTAAAAGATAGACATATAGTGTCGCGGATTTTTTTTAGATCATTTAAAAAGGACTGATCCTTTCATACAATTTGATTTAGTTTCTTGAACCGTTTGTTTACACAGCGCACACAACGGCAACCTTGCAAGATGAATAGTTTTTTCTCGTTTTTGCCACATTTGCCACTGTTCCTTCGATCCTCTTAGTCACGGCGCGATGTTTTATAGCCTGTACCCTTCCTCAATAAATGTTCTAACTAACACAAAAATAATAATTCAATTCAAACCAGTAGTTCCTGAGATTAGCACGTTCAAACAAACACACTCTTCAGCTTTATATATTAGTATAGATTATATAATTGTGTGATAAAATTACTATTAAATGTAAAACAAATTGAAGGCAATATAAATTTATTTAGAAAGTCCTGTGTTACTTTAGTGTCTATTGCAGAATGCTAAAATAATTTATTAGTGATAAATATTAAAACATGTGCACAACAGTTTAATACTTCCTGCAATTGTAAAACACTATACAATAATGTGACACAACGGTGTAAGAATGTGCTATTAGGCTGTGAGATACGATTTGCAAGTGATCTGTTATGTTAAGTTAGAAATATTAGATGACTGTTTAAAAATGCTTTTTAGGTGTTTTACTATTAAAATTATTGTTTGTAGCGCCATCTCTTAAGGGATCATCATACTATTATGTGTTACGACTTAACCATTCGTACGGTTTTAACATTTTCTAAAAGATGGCGCGCTTTTACATCGGTGCATACATATTTTATGAGTGAATCGATAGATGGCGCTGAGTGGTTTATTTATAATTGAAATGAACAATTTAAGGCAATAAAAATATTATTTAATATATAACTATTAAAAAAAACCTATGTATGTGATATAAAGTTAAAATAATAAATTAAGAATTGTAAAGTGTAGTCCACTATGTCCCTTTACAGTTTGTTAATTCGCATAAATTTTGGGAGTCATACACAAATAATACAATTAGAATCCAAATTATAATAGTAAACTTTTCACACTTACTTTACATACAAAATGCATTTCTTAAAGAGAAGAACTTATGTTATGTATGAAATATTCCATAATATGAAACGACAAGACAATATAAAATTTAATATGCCAAAATACTGCTAGCGAGTTCCAGGTAACAACGAATAAATTGCTTGTCCGTTGCGTGATTAACACGAGCATAATGCACGGCCAATACCCATATTCATCAACCAGAAAACGCAGAGGATAATTAAATTTGACGATGTAAATGCAACGCAAAATAAAAACAAAACAAACAGTGAAACCGCCGTTGTTTATAGTAACACAATATGTACCAAGACTATAATATTCCAGAATAACCTTGACAATACCACACTTAACTCTATTTCTAATGCCTAATTGTTATGTATAGTCTGTAGTTCAGTCGTTGTAATTTTATGTAAGTAGGTCTTACGTAGACTACAGATTATATTGTGTTTAAGTCGCAGAAATCTACATTAGGTTCTTGCGCGCAGTTCCAAATGATTCTTAAGTAACCAATCATGAGTTTTTTTTAATAAATTTAATAAGCAAAGCGATAATAAAGCTAGAACTAAGTATTGTCTGTGGTCTATGCAACTACTTTACAAAAATATGTAAATACTGTCTATAGTTTACGCGAGTAGTATACATTTAAATAAAACACTTTAACGGTTTACTGAGTCTCCCCCGTGACCACGGCTGCTACAAAGCAACCGAAACGCGGCGAAGTTAAAAATCATTTTCAAATAAGTTTAACTAATATATCGCTTTTAAACCTTAAAGTGTTTTATTTAAATAAATATGTAGTTAAAACGCAAAATAAATAAGTTAACTTGTACATTTTGCGCATAAACCGTTAAAACCGTTTTATTCAAAAGTTAGAACTATGTAACAATATTTTACAAAAAAATAGGCGTATACAACAATGAATCGAATATCCAAATTCAAAATAGGTCGATAACGCATCTTGGTTAGATGTTATATGGCTGGAGTATTTCACCATCAAGTGTACCCCCACGTTTCTCTGTAATATAGACGACTATATTAAAAAAAACCTGCAACCATGACACTGCGCATCTCCCCTGTTATAACACCTATAATTTTACCTCGATGGAATTATCCTGTAGGCTTCGTTTTGGGCGCGGCATCGGCGGGGCTCGCGCATACCACAGCTATGACGTCATCGTGTAAAAACTCCATGAACCCAAGTACTCAAGGTCTTTCAGATCTGCCTCATTATATACAGGACTAGGCTTAAATTCTCTAGAATTTAATATCTCTATGCAGACCCGTCACAAGTTAAGGAAGATTCGAATAAAACTACTAACGAAAGTTTCCTTTAAACTAAGTAATTTAAGCTCACTTGTAGCTCTGTACTTGAAGTTTAAAAATTAAACATTTACGTTTTTATTTATAGTGCTTCAATTTAAAGATTTATTATTAATTACTTTTTTAATAAATATTACGTCACAATCTTAAATGGATTAATGATATCGAGAACGAATATTAAAAAATTTAAAAGATTAAGGAAAGTTAAAAATAAAGTAAAAAAAGATAAGGATAATTAGGATTTTTTTTTACTTATGAATAATACGTTTTTGTTTTGTGCAGAAGGTGAATTACGTGTTTGCTTGGAATGTTTCCGAAATGTACTCGCATTCCTATCAACCAATTTTCATTCCTGAACTTAAATATTTCCCATTTTAACCAAATGAACGCACTTTGTTTAAGCAATGCGCACGAGATTTTATGTTCAATTAATTTTAACGCAAATTAAACTTATCCCACAATAGGACTTTTTGTGGTAATTTTGTATATTTCCTTCATTAAAATAATTGTATTTTATTACAAACATATTCAGCTTTTCCGGTTTGTACAGTTAGTGCCAGATTAACGTGATGTTTATAAGCAAATAATTAAGATTATAATCGCAATTTTAACCGCTCGAATATTTACTTAATGTTGAGAGTGTCCACTTTTGCTGTATCAGAGAAGTCCATCTCACCTAACACCTACATCTTAACGAGTTATTTTTACAACTTAAACACATTTTATAATATAATCATAAATGATAATGGCTCTATGAATAATATTATAATTACGAAACATAGTTGTAAAGAAGTTATACAAACTTTAACTGTTAGCGTTAGGTTATATTTCGGAGAAGCACTCTACTGGTCTGTTGTTTTTTGGGTCGTAAGATGACCCATTCGGATTAGTTTTGAGAAGTCCATTTGATTCAACATTTCGGAATATTATAGAAAGAAATCTTAATCTACACTTTGCGCTTAAAATGTAGCTGTGATCTTAGACTTTTTGCTGCTATCTTACGGTCGACGAAATCTTTTGTTATTTTAATGTGAACTTGAACATGGGTAAGCACTAATTAGGTTCTTTTTGTTTTAGGTGACAGTATGGGGTAGCAGTACTGTGGCGGAGGTCATTCACGATCCGCTACAAGAAGCTGGGCTAGCGATTTCTGGTTTTCCAACTGGACCTCTATCACCTCCCTTGAGTCTACCTATCGCGGGTCCTCTACCACCACCAGAAGAAGCCGTTCCTCCGCCAACAGCGCTCTTATTTCTCGGAGGGTGTAAGGCTCCCGTAGAACCAAGGGCCTCTACAGTTTATTTGGAAGGAGAAGTTCTTGTTATTGAATGTGAACCACCAGCGTGGGATGGAAAAGATCTAGAAGTGTTCCTAGCTTGGGAAAAAACATATGGTGAGGATTATTTTTGTAACAAAGTTTTGATGTAAAACATGTATAGCTGAGGTTCCTAATTTTGTTTGTTTGTGACCGGATTATATTGACAGTATATACCTACACGTATGTAAAAGTATATAAAAAATAATTGTTGTCTATTTTGTACATTTGACATGCCGTGAGGCGGCTTGCATTTCTCCATTTGTTATTTTTTATCCTTAAGTATCTATATAGAATGTTGGCCATGTCAAATTAGTATATTATATGCCTAAACATCGGTATTAATTCCGCATACATGTATCTCATGTAGTATCTCGTTTTAGTATTAATTTTCTGTCCCTCTCCAATGTGCGCCTAATGCATTAAGTATTCCATCTGCGAACTATCTGTTTGTAGAAAGCGGTTTGGCAATATTGGAACGTGTACGCACGCCGTTGCTATTGTCCGATAATCTTTCGAAGAAGCAACTTATACGCACAACGTATGCAAAGCTAATGCAGTTGCCGTGATCACCATACTGATAGATGGAGCTCGCAGTTGATCTTTATTTCTTGGAATAACATTTTAAAACCTCGGGCATTCAATAGGTGCACTTCAGAACACGTAACTGCAATGTTTGCGATCAAGTTTCGATACCAAGATACCATAACGGGCAGTACCTCGTTATGGTTAAGCAGAGTTTTTAATAAGTTTCATTTTGTAAATTCAGATAGGTACTTTAAACTCGAAGTTAATAACTTGCTTTTTGGTATGGAGCTAGACTTAACATTTGTTTTTGTTGCAGCTTCGATACTGTTCTCGGCCGTGGAACTTTATGGGAAGCCGTTGCTTCGAGCGGCAGCAATAACCAAAGAAGAATATCACTTGCTTTTCTATTATTTAGAATCCATATCGGAAGCCAGCGAAGCGTTAACGCAACGCATGCGGAAATACATCGATTCAGGTCTTTTAAATACTCAAAAAGATGATGACGACAACGATGAATTGGCTTCTCTTAATTCGCAAATAAATTGTAACAGCGTCACTGAAAATGAAACAAAAAGCCTTCTCACTGAACTCATTCAAGAGGGAATTTTGTCACAACATGACGTTGATTCCGCGTCAGAAATGACCACATCGACGTATAGTGAACAAGCAACGGTTGGCAAAAAAGTTGACGACGATAACAGATCGAGCTCTTCGTCAATTGCAGTACCACTGCGCAGAGTGATAGTTGACATTCCAGTTGATAAGTCTGAATCCGTTGTTGACGGTTCTGCAGTTGAACATACAGATGATATCGCGCCAATCAAAACTGGAGGCCAGTGTTGCGCTGATCATAGAATATCCGCCGACATCACAGACAACGTGTGGTCCAATGTGAGATGGGATTTTCTTAATCCTGCTGATTTTGGATATGATCAAGTTCCAAGCGTAAAGAGAAGTCGATCTGACTCTGCGCTAACACCGTTGGTTACGCGGCGTAATGAAGAAATCTATGAGACTTTGCGCGATGATGAGGGCGATTCGTGCGGCAGCATGACACCTTACGAATCTATAGAAGATTTATACGACTGCATTAAGAACGCTGCATATAATAGTGTCATAGCAGACTCGTCTCCATCTACGGAGAGTCAATCGGAGCCACATTATCCGGACTTCGATGAAAAGTCGAGCACGACGCGTCAGAGCTCCGCTAGCAGTGAAAAAAGCGGAACCTCGTCCGCTTTTCCATTTTCGAAGTGCGGTTCTACTGATTCGACCGGTGCGTACACGTCTTGCGAGTCTACGAGCGGTATAAGTACTTTCGCCATGAAAAGCATTCCGGAGCTGATTAAATGCAGAGAATTGCCTTTGCCGCCTACGGAAGTCGAAATGAATGAGAGTGCGATTCTATTGAAGCAACTGTTTATGGGTGAATTAATGGACGCATATGGTGAATATCTATCGGCGTATCCGTATGCGCGTGCGCTGCTTCGCCGGAAGTTGCGACGGGACGAACATTTCACCGCGCTCGCCGACATCAGACGAGGTGCCGCCAAGTACACCATCGCCGATTACCTGGAACTCCCGGTAAGTGAATTAGCTTTATATGAAACTGCTATTAATCGTCGAGCTCTGCTTTTCTTGAACTATTGTACAGAGCGAATACATTTAGCTTTTGTGTTGGAGTCAAGTGCGTCCATTAAATTAATTCAGCGTGGAATCGAGAACAATACGGTGAGCATTGGAGGAATCCTGGTGTGGTGGATTTGATGGCGGCCGTGTGACAATGATATGAGCTCGGGCACGCGTCGCCATTCAATGCTAATGGGCCGGAAGAGTGCGCGTGAAACTCTCTCTCACTGATTATAGACATTGTTTCTTTGCCCCTAACATGCCGCTTCAGAACTTCTTGTTATTAAGTTCGAAATTCAAGATTTATCGACTTGAGTTACGTGTATTTTAGCTTTGAATTCTGAGAAAACAAAAAACAGTTATATTCAAGGAGAGAAACTAAGATTGATGGAGCAACAATTCTACAAATGAATATCAAAATCTATTTTCCTATTATCCAAGGCCACTTAAAAATGGCAATCCATCTTGACAAACCTTAAATTAAATAAATGGTTTTAGCCCTGTGCTATTTTACTGAAAAGTCACATCTTAATGTACTTAGCTGTACATATTATTATGTATTTAAAATTGTAATATGTATGAAGCACTGCAATGAACTCGCTCTTTATTTTTGTTTATTTAAATTACATCGGTTTAATGAATGGAAATGTAAATAAAAGCCCGTGTCATATTGGTTCCAGTATGACTTATCGTGACATTATTTTAAAAACATCAATAACGAAAAATAAGTATTATCCTTTATTAATCGCATATTTATTATACGAAGTGCGAAGACCTACAAGTAATGCTATGTTATGGTACTTTTGTATAGACAAGTGTACCCTGCAGGTATTTAATGCCGTAAATAATTACTGAATGCGCCAAGCAGGAACTAAGATTTTTGCCAAAGTGATATAGAACGTGGTTAATTTAAATAAACAAGAGTTTTTCTTTTTTTTTTTAATAATTCCGCTATATTCAATTTAAAAAAATATTATTACGAACCGTTTTGCTACCAGTTATTTATAATGCCTTTAGTATTTTAAGCGCTACACTGAATCATATTTACAAACTGATCTTTCGTTTGACTTCGTCATGGGACGAAAAGAAGTACCTTCTATTTATCTTTAATGCAAAGTAAGATATGACGTAATCGCGAAATATAACATAGGAACGATACAAGTGCCACACCCCAGGGGTGCTCCCACCTACGTGCTTTACATCGCCCACGTTTTTTCATCAGATCATTGCTGGGCTCTTGAAATACCAAACCAATAATGATTGCGAAGGTCACTTTGATCCATTGTTACAGCCGCAATTACTATAAACCCGCTTTTTGCTAATGTTGTTGATTATAAGAGGCGTGCCATAATCGTGATACAAGGGGGCAATTCTTACCAAATCGACATAATTACGCAGACATAAGTCGCATTGTGTCACATAAAATTCTGGTAACGCTTATCTCATATCACACGCTTTAGAATCGCACTCCTGGCTGGATATTTTTTTCTCATATCAAAATAATTACTTTTAAAGACCGTCATCATTAGAATAAATCATAATAATAATTATTTTGTCACGAATTATGGAGGCATTAGCTTGAACCGGTGATATTATAAAAATAAATTAATTGAGATATTTTTTGTCGATGCTGAAATAAAAAGGCATTAGCGTTAATAATTTAATATTTAATTTACATTACTGCTTTAAAGTAGTGTATAAAACACACAACAGATATCTGTTCTTATATACAAACCCTATACATAGGAACACGCCCATCTGTACTTTAATTTTTTTATCTCTATTTGTATCATGTGGTACATTCTTATAGCTATGTATATCGTTATTATGATTAAGTTTGTTTTGATGCTGTTTCAATTACTAGTAAATACATTTGATTAAGAAATACATTTTTCCAATCTGGTATTGTACAAACCTATTCCGTATCTATCGATGCTAATATTATGAAGCTGGCGAATTTGTTTGTTTGACAGCGCTAATCTCAGGAATTACCGGTTTGAATAGAATACGTTTTGTGTTGGTTAGACTATTTATCGAGGATGTCTTTAGGCTATAAAACATCAGGCTGCGACTAAAAGGCGAGATAACAGGGAAATAATAATAAAAAAAAACAGGAAACATCTTTAAAGATTACTCACAAGAACCGTTTTTATAGTAATTAAATTTCGTCGAAATGCTTGATAAAGCAAAAAGACCTTTGCCACGTCAGCTAGTACTAAATATGTCCTGGCAATGAAACGCTGTACTTGCTACTGCTAGATATCTTTAAATCAGGACACGTCCAGCTAAAAGTCGTGTTAAGTGTGAACGTACGGATAGAGTCAACACCAAGATTTGCTCGTCCAGAATATTAAGAGCTCCACAGTTTTGTTGAGGGCTGTCATTATAAAACATTTTGTCAGGTTGCAACAAATTTTATCTAACTAAAACACTTTAACGATTTAAAACGCGATATATTAGTTAAACTTATACGTTACATATTGTTACGTTGTAACGACGTTTCGAAACGTCGGGCCGAAGATAAAAATCATTTTCAAATAAGTTTAACTAATATATCGCGTTTTAAACCGTTAAAGTGTTTTATTTAAATGTGTACCACTCGCGTAAACTATAGACAGTATTTAATAAACAATGTTTTGAAGCAAAATTAAAAATATTGTAGTGTTAATGTCGTATATTGGAAAAGACCTGGCCAGCAAGTTTTAGCAGCCATAAACCGTGCTAAGATCTTGATTCCACGCGAATTCGACTTATCAGTTATCAGGATGCAGGTAGCGTCCGCTATTAGGATCTTTACATTCCTAGTTATAGCTACATGTTTAATGTACTAGTCTGTCCTAGAGTTAATTTACTTGCTAATTCTTCGCTAATTATATACAATCTCTTGAGATATAGAAATATGAGACTGACTCTTGTCTGAACGATTGTGTTGAGGTCCCAGGTTCAATTATAGAACATTGTCTTTTTTTTATAATAGAAGACAGAGAAACATAGGTTTACTTGATGGAAGGTGAAATACCCTTGCTATATAACATCTAAGTAAAATGCGCAGTCGCCCTATTTTGACTTTTCCTCTAATCGTATATAGCCTGGTATAATTTTCATTTCGAAAACATCCCTTCGGATATTGGAGGTTAATTAGAACTGTAAAGTTATATATAAGCTCCTAAATCTTTTCTGTGTCAATGTATTACAATAAACTTTTACAAATTGATGTTAGAAACAAATTTACAAGAAATGACGTTAGTTGTAGGATTTACATCTTAGCTCTTTCCGGTTTAAACATTCCAAAAGTGATTCAGTAGTATTTATGTCTTCTTACGTAAAGCTAATTTTCGTATATTTTGAGATCACTAGAGAATCTATTCTTTAAATTAGAATTTTAAATTCTAGCTTAAGTAAGCGTTTCTATGTTTCTGCGTGCTTATACACAATACACATATATTGGCCTTAATCTGTTATTGTATTTGTTAAAAATTTAAATTAATGTTGTAACCCTAAAAATTGCAGCAGACGGTATAATTTATACATTGTAGGCCATATGACAATTTATCTTATATTATTTTTTCGAATTAAAAAGATAAAAAACATTTCTAAATTCAACTCAGGTTTGAAATTCTAGTATAATAATGTTTTACATAACAGTAACACGTTGTTACATTATAGTCGAATAAAGTGGTAGAAAGTGAAAAATGTTATTTTTCTGTAGTTCTCTAATTCTGAAGACACGATGAGTTTAACAACTCATGTATTGCATCAACATAGCACAAAAACACATTTTACAACATTCGTAACACTCATAATTTTCGTCTGTCATACATTTCGCCAATAAAATCTCTATTCTCAACACTTTGTATATAGGTTGCTCAGTTTGAAAATTTACGCCCGAAAAGTAGTAGATTTTTGGTAGTATTAGAATTCTATATTTTTTAAATATTTTTAAAGTACGCAATATTAAAGATTATACCCACTCAAATACCACCCAACTTTCACCCACATATGTAAAGATTATAATATAAGTTTTGAAATCAATAAGAGGCAAAGTAGTGGATCAGACTTCTGTGCCCTGCCCGACCGATTTTTTTATTATTTTTTTTGGAATTCAAACCCAGGATCTTTCGCGCTTAACCCAATGTTACGTTTAACCATTTGGCCACAAAGGCGGGCATCTGTTACATACCTGCTGACTACTCTATTGTTATTTGTTAAACTCATCATCCTACATTGGACAAAGTATAACATATGCCCCTGTTCAGGTTTCCACAAGCGTTTTTCCTTGGCAAGCGAGCTCTTGTTACATTTACCTACGTTGTTTCCTTTTAAATAGATCTCTGAAGATGTTACATGTTATCTCAAACATCTAAATACCAGCTGGAGCTGTTTTATATCTAGATGAGACTACTAGAAGTAGGTTTTTACTATATTTTAGTAGAGCCTGTTATAAAAATCTGACTTGAATCCTCGTGTTGACCAATATGACTTCTGGTTGTTATATCATTTTTACACATTAGTTACGTCAACAGCTAATAAAGATAATCTAAATGCATACAAATTTAGGTAAATTATTTGAACATGTTTCACATAATTAAAACTTAATGTTAAGTTTGCTTGATAATAAATTATAATAATTAATTACATTTCTTCATCATTTTGTCAGTTCTGATACGATACAGAAATTTGTATTGGTATCTTAACATCGTCGACCAATTGTTACATCGGACTGACAAAGTGAATTAAAAACAATAACAAAACGAATTTAAACATGGTCGTTGGTCTAATGGTAGCATTGTATGGCTGGTCGATCCCCGTCGGGTCCGACATATTTCTAAATTTCAATAAATATTTTTTCTGAAACATGTTGAACTTCGTCTGGAAATCTGGATATTAGATGGGTAGAACTACAGAAATTCTGTCCGGGTCACGAACCACCACAGATGAAAGATCCGTGCAGTTTAATCGCGATTCGGTTTCAGTCTGTGGATTTCCGAATATCCAACGCCAAAATAGGCCGACGGCGCATCTTGTTTAGATGCTATAGACTGGGGTATATCACCTACCATCAATAAAAATCCCATGCTTTTATGTCGAGCTTAGTTCTCGTCAATTTCGCAGCCCCAGATTCATTGGAATGACACCAA